CAAGCCCCGACCTCTTTACCCCAGGGAGAAATCTTTTACCTATTGGATAGGGCGCTCAGTTGGCTTCAGAGCAGTGGATACGGCGAGACAACTTTCCATATCGGGATTCAAACTCCGATTCCACTGCCATTTAGCCCCCAGCTCCCAGTGTAGCAGCTCTGGGCAGTTTTCGTTGTCTGGAAGATACTTTCTTTGCCGCAAGGTAATGTAATTGCTTCACCGAGAATAGCTTTCCCTTCTATCGCGTTCAAATATCAGCTTCCTTGGCAGCTTGAATAGGATTGTTTTGAAGTAGTGACCACTGGAATTACCACTGACATTATTCAGTTCTCTCTCAATTACATTTTATTGAATTGCTGAAATGAAAACTATTCATATCGCTGTTAACAGTGGTATTTTTTAATAATCAGAATTATGACCTATTTAAAATTGTTTTCCTTTCTGGCCTGTCTTTACATGTCGATTTGAACTCCTCTGTGAATTTGTGTTCCATTCATTTACAGGACGATCATTTTAAGTTCAAACCTTGGATATGTAAATATTAGACTAATAAATTTTTGTAGGAAATATATTTTCTTTTTCTGTGGGGCTACAGCCCCAATTTGGACCTAGGCCTACCTCCATGAAACTCCCCGTTTCACTTCGGTTTACTAGATCTTACACATACGGTAGGACTCCTTGGGCGAGTGATCAGCTCATCGCAAGGCCTCTACCTGTAGACAAACACAGAAAAACGCACACAAATATCCATACCCTGAGTGGGATTCGAACCCACGATCTCGGTTTCCGAGCGAGCGAAGACAGTGCATGCCTTAGACCGCTCGGCTACCGTGACCGGCAGGAAATATATCAGAATATGGAAATAAAACTTTAAGGGATATTGTGGCGTATAGTTTGGTGTATAGGACTAACGTGTCGGAGGAACCAGCTGTCTCTATCTTCAGGGTAGAAGAGAGAGGTGGACCTATCTGTCAACGTACACAGAAGCATATCTCAGAAAATTGTTATATTAAAATTCTCTCCTATTTCTTTATAAACGAGGAAAATATAGAGAAGGGGGGGAAGGTTATGCGGAAGTCCCTTCCTTAAAATAAACTGAAAGATTAAACTATGACAACATATCCCTTTATAATAAAGAAATATTAAAATTAAATTGTAACTAAACACTGTTAGTTGATAAATATTCATATTGTCAAGAAGTAAAAATTACAAACAGAATGAATGCATAATTAATAATAAACTCGGCAATAAACCTTCGGGTTCCATAAAATGCTGGGAAGTTCTTGAGTAGCTGCACAATTGGCGGTTTCTCCAGCTTTTCTTGAGAAGCAGCCAATTCTGCAGCTACTCAAGAACGTCCCAGCATTTTATGGAACCCGAAGGTTTATTGACGTGTTCACAAGAGCCCTCCACTGGTCCCTATCCTGAACCAGATCGATCCAGTCCATGCCGCCCCATCCTATCTCTCTCAGATCCATTTTAATATTGCCCACCCACCTACGTCTTGGTCTTCCCAGTGGTCTATTTCCTTCTGGCTTTCCCACAAATATCCTATATGCACTCCTCTTCTCCCCCATTCGTGCTGCATGTCCTGCTATCTCATCCTCATTGACTTGATCATTCTAATTATACTTGGAGAAGAGTACAAGTTATGAAGCTCCTCATTGTGCAGTTTACTCTAACCTCCTGTGACTTCATTTCTCTTCGGCCTAAATATTCTCCTCAACACCCTGTTCTCAAACACCCTCAGTCTATGTTCCTCCCTTAAAGTCAGAGACAAAGTTTCACACCCATACAGAACCACAGGCAAAATTATATTTTTGGATATTCTAACTTTTATGTTTTTAGGCAGCAGACGAGAAGACAAAAGGTTCTAGACTGAATGGTAGCAAGCATTACCCGAGTTCAGTCTCCTCTAAATTTCCTCCTCAATCAGGCTTACTGTAATCACACACACTAAAATAGAATTAAATATGTTTAACTTGTTTAACAGGTCGTTACATTTCAAGCTCTTATTGCAACACATTAAGAGTGTAAAACAACTCTGATTCGAAGATAATAAAATTTAGAGAGTGGATTTATTATTTTGATGTAGGATTTGAGGTCCTCACAGCGGTGTGTATGATGAGTTCTATTTTCTCACTGATATGTTGAGTTTTTGGACTTTATCCATCGTCCTGGTTTTGAAGATAACAAATAAAAACACGACGTTTCGGAAACTGGATCTGTTTCCGTCCTCAGGTGAGGGAAAACACCTATTCAGTTGGGTCCGTTAGAAAGAGCTAGCCTCAATCACTGGACCAATCACTGATCACTTTATCAGATGGATAAAGTCCAAAAACCCAACATATCAGTGTTTTATACACCATCGTCAGAATCCTATAGTAACTACTTCTATTTTCTCAGATAAAACGCCATGAACCCCATTGAAATTTAACCCTCTTCAGATTCGAATAAACCGAGCAAGATACCAATGGGAAAGCAGGTATCAAACCGAGTTAGGCGGCTTGCCAATGAGAGTTTCTGTGCTGGACAATGAATGTCTGGATCTGCCGTACCGGCCGTGTTTCGTATTTATCGTTATGCGGTGTGTTTCTTGAGAATGAGAGCGCTGTGGCTTTTATTCATTCCCATCTTTTGTGAGTCTGGGGGACCGTGAGATTTTAGGGTTATTTGCGTCTCGCTCTATTCATGTTTCACTGGATTTCGCGAGAAGATATTGTACGGTGTTGTGTACTGCATTACTTGAGCTTCCTTTGTCATCCCGCCCACACCCCTGGACCCACCCACATCTGTGAAAAGTGACTTATACAACTTTCTTAGCAGTGATGTGCAAACCACAGCCCACCATAATGGCAATATCAGGCGCTTGTTGATTTTAAAGAATATTTTATAATAATTTTGTTTTCATGATTTTTTTCCCTTGGCACTACAGCCCCAGTGGGCCTAGGCCTACCTCCATGAACTTCTCCGTTCACTTCGGTTTTTCTAGATCTTACACATTCGGTAGGACTCCTTGGGCGGGTGATCAGCTCGTCGCAAGGCCTCTACCTGTACACAAACACAGAAAAACGCACACACAAACTAAACATCCTTGCCCTGAGTGGGATTCGAAATCACGATCCCGGTTTCTAAGCGAGGGAAGACAGTACATGCTCTTCATGATATAATTTCTTTAAAATTAACTCCAAATTAATTACGACACACGCACTGTAATCGTATTTATTCATTCAGCCTACACGCGTTCCGGGCTTAATTGCATCAACCTTCATTACTGTTATTACGAGGATTTTGTTATTTCGTGGTTTGGGGTTAGACTGGGACCACAATGTAGTGTACGTCGGTCTCTGATGGGACTATTGTATCAGCCCCGGATGATGGATGCGTGTGGAGCCTCTGGTGAAATGATCATTGTCAGGGGAAACCAAAGCAATCTGGCTAAACCTGCCACAGTGCCACTTTGTTCACCAAAAATCCCACATGATCTGATCTCGGGCTGAACCCGGGCCGCCGAGGTCAGAAGGCAGCAACTAACCACCTGAGCAATGGCAAGGATTTTATTAGGATTTAATGTAGCTTATGAAATTGATGCAAAAATGTTCGAATAACTAAGAACGTGCACGGTTACAGACACGCTTTACTGCGCGTTTGGAGTAAACCCATTGTTGCTAGTGGGGTGAGACTAAGTCCCTTGTACTGCGGCCACTTCTGGCCTATTGTACCAGCCCCAGATGATAGGTGAGGGTGATTGTGGAGCAATTGGTGGAATGAAGATTGGCAGGGGAAACCGCAGTACCCGGAAAAATCCCGCCCCAGGAACACTTTATCCACCACAAATCCCATTTGACCAGACCCCGGGATCGAACCCGGGCCGCCGCGGTGGAATGCCAGCGACTAACCGCTTGAGCTATGGCGCAGCCAAGGATAGTGATTACTGAATATGTCTTAGGTTTAAGGAAATTAAATTACATGTTTGCTTGAATGTAAGCCTATTTATGCGGTTCATATTATTCCCAGAAGTGATATTGACAATTTCCTTAAGCAGTAGTAACTGGATGGTCATTGTAATTGAGACGCGGTGTGTTCTCTTAGGTAAGAACTTAAATTTTAAATAATATTTAGATGGACTTCAGATTTATGGGGATTAAAGTAGACAGCATTCACTAGTTTGTCTTTGTAGTGAAGACGTAATATATTTTCTGTGGGGTACCAGCTGTATTTATACTTATTACTCAGCAGGAATTCAGTCTTTAAGGAGTTAAATTTTGTATCGTGAATTTTCTAAGAACATCCTAATTTTGTGGTGGGATATGTAAGTTATAACACGGCAAGAAGCTTCTAACTTTAAGAATGGTAAATACTGAGACATACTCTAGTTTTAGTATGCACAGACACTATTTTCCAAATATTTTATTTGTCCTTTGCGTAACTTTTCTAAATCCATGTAGACCATCTACATCTTACAGAATTACTGGGTTTTGGGGCTTTTTTCATTTTCCGGAACTATAGGTAATAGAGGACATGACGTTTCGGAAACTCGGTCTGTTTCCGTCTTCAGGTGAGAAAAGAAGACACCTACTCACTTGGGCCGCTTAGAAATAGTTAATCCCAATCACTGGAAAACGTCCAAAAACCAGTAATTCTGTGTCATCCCATCGTATTTCCTACCAGTCTAGACGGCTTCACATCTGAGAGGACAGCGCTCTTCATAGTCGCTGGCTTTCCACCGCGGCGGCCCGGGTTCGATCCCGGGTCTGGTAAAGTGGGATTTGTAGTGGACAAAGTGGCGCTCCGAGTACTTCGGTTTCCCCTGCCAATCTTCATTCCACCAACTGAGCCACAATCACCCTCACCTATCATCTGGGGCTGGTACAATAGGCCAGAAATGGCCGCAGTACAAGGGACTTAGTCCCACCCCACTAGCAATAAAGAAAATACAACCTCAAATGTGACATGAATTACAACCATGAGATGACTGTTGGTTCTCTAATTTGTTTTAGGTTCATGGCTACGTGAGCTTGGTTGTGTGCCTCTTCGGCTCCGTGGCGAACAGTCTTAACATCGCGGTGCTCACTCGTCGGGAGATGACGTCACCAACCAACGCCCTTCTGACCGGTTTGGCTGTTGCCGACCTGCTGGTCATGCTGGAATACATCCCCTTCGCCTGTCACATGTACATGCCCCAGAGCACTTCAAGGACAGCCACCGACCAATATTCATATGCGTGGGCCGTCTTCGTTCTGTTTCACTCGAATTTCGCCCAGGTAATTTTGTTAGGGCTGCTTCGCTAAGAGCAACACAACGTTCAGGGAAATATTTGCACGCATCAGAATGAAATTAACACGTCAAATTGACCCTGTGCGTAATTAGGCACTACGCAAAGGACAGGTTTGCGGGAGTGGAGACAGTTTCAGATAACCTCAGTCTCTATTCTGCCGTCAACATCACTTTTCGGCCATTTTGAGTCTGGGAAAGAAAATCGCGGACCCGCTGGGTGGATCCCAGAACTGAACTGGACGCAATGGTAAGAGGTAATTAACTTTGTCTCTTTGTTTGACTACGCAGCCCTTTGGAAAATAAATGGGGAAATGGAAACCAGAAGTTAAATACAGATTTCGCTCTGAGTACCACGTGGTACACACTCTCTCTCCCTCAGTCTCTTCTCCTGATGCTCTCTCTTTGGAGCACATGGCATCAGTGAGACGCTTCGTTTCACTTCAGTTTCTTAATCCTAAAGGCGCGTCCACATTACTCGTGCTCGTGCGTCAGAAGCTTACTGCTGCCGGAAAATCAGGATCTTGAGCTGATATCTGTAGTGAAGAAATGCGAAGGCTTTGTATGCAAACCAGTTTGGGCGTCCACTTTTGCATGGGAGATGAACCCGTCGCAAGGCTGCGACCTACACAAGCACAGAATAAAAGCAGATAGACGATCATGCTTCAAGTGGGATTCGAACTCACGTTTATTTGAGCGAAAAAAGACGGTTCATGTCTTAGACAGCGTTCCCACTGTTATGAGCCCATGTTGTATCATGACCTACCCAACAAAAAAAGGTTTTGAACAACATTTCGGGGCCCTACAATTAAGTGTCGTCACTGTTGCTACCATGTCATAATTTGTCACGTCTGATGTTTTAGCATTATTACTAAAGGAAATATAAAATAATCGGAGATGAACTGTCTGCAGTTGCATGATGCGAATACGGTGTGAGCCATGTATTTCTATCGCGCTTCTAAATTATACTCAATTCGAGATTACAGGATCCGCAGAGGTCGTACTGCTTCAGGGCTCCGGGCTCTTTTATAGTAATACGCGAAAAAGTGTACGTCCCACCAACTCCAGCTCCTTCATGACCAATCCATATTCAGATATCCTGCGAGTCCTTACTTACCGCAATAATTATAAGATGGTCTCCACACCTATAGCTATCAGGACCCCTGAGTGTCTTATAATTAAATAGGTGTAGATGAAGTTTACATGTTACTGCAGTCCTCATTCATTCATTCATCAGTAATCTGTCAAGACGACAGGTTCACAGTCTCTTCCAAAACAGTTCCTCCACTTGATGCGATCTAGAGCTTTCTCCTCCAAATGAAAATATCCTCTTCTGTCCCCAAGGTCATCCAGCATCTTCTTACGTCTTCTTCCTCGTCTTCTGGTCACTTCTATCCGCCCCTCTATCTTTTCTTCAATGACTTCTTTTAGAAGGCAGTTACCGCGTAAGATATGACCAAACCAATTAGCCTTCCGTTTTCTTATTTCGTGTAGGATATTCCTCTGCTCACTGACTCTAAATAACACTTCTTCATTTCTCACATAATCGGTCCAACTGATCTTCTCCATCCTTCTCCAACACCACATTTCGAAGCTTTTCAGGTGTTTCTGATCTACTGCCCTAAGTGTCCAAGTTTCAGCCCCATACAAAGCGATTCTCCAAATGTAACATTTCACTAGTTTCTTTCTCAAATTTAAGTCCAATTTTCTGGTAAAAAGATTCTTCTTCTTACTAAATGCAGCTTTTGCCATGGCAATCCTAGATTTAGTCCTTTCAAATAAAATCCCACTTATGTTGAAACGTCCTGCCGATCTCTGCGTATACCAACAATTAGAATGCTGCTTCTAAACATATATATATTCTGAAGTCTGAGTCGGCGTTACACCTAGAGATAAAACCTGGTAGGATGAGATCGGGGCATGGAGGATGCATGGAGGACAACAATTATGTGTAATTAAGGTTTATTGGAAAATTTCAAAGGAAGACACCACTTTGAATAACTAGAAGTAGATGGGCAGTTAATATTAAGGAACGTATATAGAAATGGGTGTGGAAGCGTTGGTTGGATTCAATTGCCTCAGGATATAGTCCAAATTTGGGATATTATAAACACAATAATTAATATACAGCTGTAACCTCATTTGGAAACAACTTCCAAGGGCCCGAGACGAAGTGGCTGCATTACGTTTAGAATTGCTGGTGTTGAAGTTTCTGCAACTTCTGTTATTCCAGGTAGACCACGACGTTTCGGAAACTGAATGTTTCTACTTTTAGGTGAAAACCTGGGGAGGCATCTACTCATTTGGATCCCATGGAAAGGGCTAATCTCAATCATTGACGTCCACTGTCAATCGACTACATTTATATAAGCACCAGAGATGACATTAATCTTTCATACTTGATCAGGTGATTAGTTGCCTCCTCACCCTCTTACCCAAGGACTGAAATGGATTAACTTCTTCTGGGAATATTGTGGACAACGTCCTCAACCCAAATAACTCTAAGCAGTTTCTTGACCAACTAAAGATTTTGAACCTCGTGAAAGGGAGTTAGTCGTAGCAATAACAGAGCATGGTGTAATTTCCGTTACACTGTGCCCCGTCATTGCATCTGTGTATCACCGTGTGATATCAGAAACTGTCATGTTGGATACCCTGAGTGGACTGATTGATTGCGATTACATAACAGGGATTTATCTTTGGCAAGTCTTCATGTTTTGTTATCACGCTAATTGATTTCACATGGGAAATGTGCAGACTTTGAAGTGAAGTGAAAGTTATGTTCCAGTTACGAAACGGCTGAAGTGAGAAGTATTTTTCTTTTCTGAGTTCTTTTCCTCACGCCATGGAGGTTTATGGCAGAGCTAAGGTACAGTCCCACCATTCTTGAACCTCGGCACTAGATGGAGGCGAGCGATCAGCTTCACGCCTCGGTCGCTTTTCCTCGGGGAAAGAGCGCTCGTTATCCATTGAATGTGAGATAAGCTGGGCACCAGAACATGACTTGACTCTGTGGAGAAGAGAAAAATACCTTCCCTCTCCGGAGATCGAACCCCAGCAATCCACTCTGTAACCTGTCGGTATACCAATTGAGCTACCGTGGCTCCCTCCGTCTATTACAATCACAGATTTTAAAAAAATTAAGCCTATCATTCAAACATGAATCATATTGAAGAAAGCAGTCTTCTGGGATTTGGCACCGTGTATATGTGATGTTAAGCGACGTTTCGGAGGAACGTACCGCCTCCTCCGGTAAAAGCTTTTACCGGTTCTCACGGTCTCTTCGCTTGGGGATTTCTTATATTTTTCATTCTACCATGAAGATGGAGGCGAAACTTTCCTCCGAAACTTCGGTTAACATCACATATACACGGTGCCAAATCCCAGCAGACTGCTTTCTTCATAGTCACCGCCGTGAAAGCCTCAAATCTTACATGAATCATATTAATCATGAATTCCAAGAATTCCCGCTTAACTCTTAAGGAGCATAATTGTTAATATACCTGCTCCGCGTTATGTACGTGTATTTATGTGTTTTGTGTGATCTCGAAGTAAACAGCGACTCCTTTCTTTCCGACATAAGATGAAACAGTAGGACGTCCTAATAGAAACGCAGTTTTACTGTAAGCTAGGAATTGAATGATTAAAGTAGCATTTGGACGAAAATCAGACTTCAGTCTTCAAGGAAACCGCAAGGAAAAACTATATTCTTTAATTGCAGGGGTTCTAATCGAAAATCTGTACATATCCAGGCGAACTTGCAAGAGGTCATCTCGACACAAGTTTTCTGTGTTTTCCTTTGATTCAAACAAATGCTGATATAGTTCTCAAGTTCCAAGTTTCTATTGCATGCTTCTCATTCAAACATAAAAGGTAAAGTTGTCCTTGTGCTAAATTAAACAAGCATTACACCATGAAGGCATATGGGGTAGTGGGTGTATAGATCAATATTTTCTTGACCTCGACACTAACTGGAGGTGACTGGTCAGATTCAAGCCCCGGCCGCTTTACCCCCGGTACCCATTGGATAGGAGGTTGGGTGAACGCAAGAGCCGGTCTGGACGACTTGAAGAAGAGAAAATTCTTAACCTTATCAGGACTCGAACTCAGACCTCTCGGTCGTCCAGCCCGCACCCAGTCATTATACCGACTGCACTATCCCGGCTCTCTCTCACACATACCGGTTCAATTAGTTAAAATTAAACCCCTTACTCTAGCAGCCCCAAAATTAAGTTTACATATTATACAATTCGCAATTATACAGAAAATCAAAATTCGGCAATTATTGTCTACAATTTATCACAATATTCCTCACTAGACATGACTTAAATACTTTCCTTGAATAGCCAGGATACTGAGCACTGCACAGGACATGAATATTTTTACTATGCACAGAAATGATGACTCCGTCTGCTTTTCATATCCCATTTTCCAATTTTCCTGTTTTTCACCTCAGATTTCGGAGTGTTAGCCTCACTGTCCTTTACAATTTCTCTCCCAAAAGTTCTCTTTCCGCTTGGATCAGAATTCAGAACTCTCTGAGATACGATTTCTCTCCTCTTTTCAACACATTTTCATAATTTGTTTCAGTGACTCGAAATCATATTTCCGATTCATTAACTTCTGATTGTTTCCTAAAACAATTTCCCACTTTTGATCTCAGAGTGGGTATAACGACCTCTATTCATGTAACAAAATACATTTCAGCATCTTCAACTTCTCTCGAATTATTTGCTGTCACTGGCCAAATTGTATTACATTCTGTATATTTCAAGCTGTAGATCTTTCTATTAGATTCTACTGTTCGTAGTCTCACCAAAACCAATTAACTACTTAGTAATCTCTTATGCTCAGAGTAGATTATACAGAGCGAACCTACATGAAGATTTAGTTCAATATTATGAAGGCAGTGAATGTGGAAATAATTTGATCGATATTTTAGTCGCTTATGTCGTGATAATTTAATTTTAGGAGTTGTCAAGTTGACCAC